TTGTTTTTGACGTGTTTAACATCGATTTAATAATATTGATGCAAATCCATATTAATTTGTATCACTAAAAAAAATTGACATATAAATATTGATTTACATTCCTTATTTAACCAACATAATTACCAAATTTGGTTAGCACCATTTAAAAAAATGATTGTAAAATTTATGTCACTAAAAAATTAAATGCTAACACATTTTTAATAAATCATTTGTTTACTTTCGTAAGTCCCACATCGATAATTAAAAATGGGGTTAAGAAGATTCTAGTCTTATAAATAACTAAACTCCCTCAATTATATATTGTAATCAAAGTTCAACATTGACTTTGATTTTTGATAGCTTATTTAAAGGTAAATAAATATTGTCTTAAGTAAAAAATTCATTTACGATTAGTTTTAAATTATAATCCAATTATAACATTTTCGAAATTGATTTTTATTTAATTGAAAAAAAATATTTGGCGTCAATTATTAAAATGATGTAAATATTAGCATCAATTTTTTAAATCGATGCAAATTAGCATCGATTAATATAAATGATGAAAATATTTGTATCATTCTTTTTAATTGATGTTAGTATTTGCATCATCATTTTTAGAATCGCTTACATAAATGATGCAAAATGTATTTACATCATTTATAATAGATTTAAACAAACAAAATAAATGATGTTCACCTTTTTTTTGTAGTGAAGCTATTACATCCCAATATGAAATGTCATGATCCATTATAAATTCGTAAAAGTTTTACAAATTTATGCAATTGCCCCAATCTAACATTGTCTACAAAGTATAGACCATCAACTCACCGGAGAGAAGAAATCAAACTTTGATTATCCACCAAGCAAATCACATGCGAACGAAACAGTGCATAGAGTCTCCAGAGCTTCCTCAGTTGATCCGTCACTCTTCGGTTGGCCAGTAAACAACAGCGGCGGTGATCTAACCGGAAACCACCATGTTCATCTTCAACAAGAGTTTCAGAGAATGAACATAGAGAATTAATGGAGACGATAAACTCAAATCTTCCATTGGAGAAGAGCTCCATCTCCGAAATCACGAGATTCCTCTTCGGTCTATTACGAACATCTGGCATTCTCAACCCCTTCGAGACTTGCCATGATCTGCTCAAGATCGAGCAAAGATTGGATCGTAGCTAGAACAAGCCACGCTCGACGAGAACTTTTATAAATTGAGTTTTTTATTTATTTGAGGTTAATTGAAATCGGCTATAATAAATTGGGTTGTAATTTGGG